ACGTGACCTCCCCGATGACGTCATCGTCACTGATGACGTCACCGGCATCCGCATCGTCATCATCACTGATGACGTCATCAGTGACGTCACTGATTACCTCACCGGTATCCGCATCGTCATCGTCATCATCGCTGATGACGTAATCAGTGACGTCACTGACGACGTCACCGGCATCCGCATCGTCATCATCACTGATGACGTCATCAGTGACGTCACTGATTACCTCACCGGCATCCGCATCGTCATCATCGCTGATGACGTCATCAGTGACGTCACTGATGACGTCACCGGCATCCGCATCGTCACCGTCATCATCACTGATGACGTCATCGGAGTCCGCATCGTCATCGTCACTGATGATGTCATCAGTGACGTCACTGATGACATCATCGGCATTGTCACGTGACCCCCAAGGTCACGTGACCCCCCCCCCCCCGGTCACTTCACCCCCCAGTACAGGGGTATTCACACGAGGGAGAAATCCCGGGGATTTCTCCCCGGCACGCGCGCATCACGAAATAAAAACGCGAGGCTTTTGCGCATCGCAAAGCCTGACGTTCTCTTCGTGGAATGCGCGTGCCAGAAAGAAATCCCCGGGATTTCTCCCTCATGTGAATACCCCTTACCCTTCCCTCCTCCTCCTCCTCAAGAGCTGCTCTCTAATTCGGTGTTACAGGGAGTTGTAAACGGCTTTTTTTTTTAAGCGTCTCAGAAATTATTAGGCAACGCGATGTCCTAATTAACTGATGCTTTTTTAATATTATCTTGCACTGCGACTGATGTTAAATCAATTCAAACGACTTTCTAGACGGTGGTTTAAAAGCGCAAAGGACTAAGAAGAGAAGAAGGGGACAGGACAAAGCGTTCTGTCCTGTCCCCTTCTTCTCTTCTTAGTCCTTGGCGCTTTTAAACCACCGTCTAAATGTTCAACCAACTAGCCCCCCAACTAATTCTGATGCAATTCAAACGAGATTGTTGATTCGAGCATAGTAATTTAAATGATCAATTATGGGGATCATCAGTTGTGATGAGTAACATTCCGGTTTTTCATCACGGTTCACCGCGGCTTTGTAGACGCCTGACGGAGTGGCTGAGAACCTTGATGCCAACCTTCTCTCAGGGGGACATTCAGAATATTCAGGTTCAAATTTAAATTTACTTTTCCTCAAGAAGAGGAGAGGGAGGGAATGAACAAATTGTCATATAAAAAGTGAAAGCCGTTTACAACTCCCTGTAACACCGAATTAGAGCGCAGCTCTTGAGGAGGAGGAGGGAAGGGTACTGAGGGGGGGGGGGGGTGAAGTGACGTGGGGGTCGCGTGACCTTGGGGGGTCACGTGACGATGCCGAGGACGTCATCAGTGACGATGACGATGCGGACTCCAATGACGTCATCAGCGACGATGCGGATGACGGTGACGTCATCAGTGACGTCACTGATGACGTCATCAGTGATGATGACGATGACGATGCGGATGCCGGTGAGGTCATCAGTGACGTCACTGATGACGTCATCAGTGATGATGACGATGCGGATGCCGGTGACGTCATCAGTGACGATGACGTCATTGGGGAGGTCACGTGACCTCGGCGGGGAATCACGTGACCCTGGGGGGTGGTCACGTGACCTCGGGGGATGTCACGTGACTTCGGGGGGGGGGGGGGGGGTCACGTGACCTCGGGGGTCACGTGACCTTGGGTGTCACGTGACCTCGGGGGTCACGTGACCTTGGGTGTCACGTGACCTTGGGGGTCACGTGACCCTGGGGGAGGGGTCACGTGACCTTGGGATGACCTTGGGCGTCACGTGACCTTGGGGGTCGCGTGACCTTGGGGTGACCTTGGTTATGCCGACGGCGACGCCGACGCCGCTCAAGCCGGGAACGGGCCCCTAAGAGCTGCGCTCTAAAATGCTCGACATACTTTGTTTAAGACTAGATGCAGGACCTGAAAGTCTGTACCATGTGTGACGTCATACCGTTCAACAGCGCACGAAAATTTTAATGCTGGTTTCGGCATCATCTTCATTTACGGTTTTCTCAATTGCTATTTTGAATTTCGAGAAAATAAATAGCATATTATGACGACTGAAGTACGGACAGCCAGAAAATGCAATTTGTTTAAGTAGCTAGAAAAACGGCCGGAGTAGCCCTTTAAACTGCTGTGCAACGATTTTAACGTTGAAAGAATTGGCATCTTCTGCTTTTGATATTGTTCACCTTGTCACAAATGACAGAAAACACACCTCCTTTCATCCAAATGTTGCGATTCCGCCGCGTAATAGCGAGGCAAAACTTGGAATATTCCCCGACCTGCAGCCGCTTGCGGCGGCCATGAGAAACACGTGGCCTGACGTCAATGGGGAATCTTGTAAAAGATGGCAAGTTGTGCGAATACCTGCTCGATAAAAGGTAACTTTTCTATAAATCTTGTCGTTCCAACATATATATAAATGCGTCAAAAACCTGGTATCATCGACAAAACTTTTATTATACGGAGTTTTAGTGGAGCCATCTATCCTAGGTCCACAAAACCGTCAGCTCTCTCTGCTACCACGAACAGCCGCCAGAAGCCGGAGGGGGAGGGGGACAGGGCCGGACGGGTATGGTCGGACCCGGATGAGACTTTCCTCCTTTCACCATATTGTTCCAGCACGTGGTCACGCGGTCGCGAGCGGATGAGTTCTCGCTGCTCACTGATGGCTCTAAAGAGAGAACTTTTCCGGAACCCCAAGCCTACCCCATCAACGTCACTGCGCACGTGACCCGGAAGACGGCGTACGAGTTGAGAGGCGGCAAAAACCTGGATCTTTCTAATTTTTTTAGATAAAAACTAGGGTATCCGGGCAAAATCTGTTTTCTGTAGTTCACTTCAGAAGTGTCGGGCATCAACTTCCACAATAATTTAAGCAAAGCCCTGAAATTGTTGCACAGGTCCTTTAAATTTGGGGGTGAATTCGAAACACGCTCGTCAGGATGTCGTATCTATTATAAACTTCAGGGTCTGTAGACTGCTCAGGCTGGCTATGCATCCCGATTACCTGTCCAACAAGATTTTATACGGAAATGTGCACAGCTTTTTGTTCCATTTTTCAAATGCCCAATTTTTTATGGGTTGCTCAAGATGTTTTTTTTTCCTATCTATCAAAACGGTAATAGTTCCAGTAGGCACACGGGGAAAGTGAGGCATGCTCAATATGGTATGCACTGCAATAAGCCACACCGTAAAACAAATATGAAATGACCCAGAACAAAATAAGGTTCCCAGGGCGACCTCATGTGGGCAGCCCACGTAGGGCCACTGTGGGCCCCACAGGGGGGCCCATGTGGGCTGCCCTCCTAGGCCCCCTGTGGGCCCCACGAGGAGGGCCCTTATTGGCTGCCCAAGTAGACCCCCTGTGGGTCCCACGAGGGGGGACCATGTGGGCAGCTTAAGTAAGCCCCTTGTGGGTCCCCCGAGGCAGCCCAAGTGGGCTGCCCAAGTGGAAACCACGTCCCTAGAGGTCCCTCGACAGAAGCCTAGGTGGGCTTCCCAAGTAGGCCCTCGTGGTCACCGCGAAAGCAACCGATGTGGGCTGCCGAAGTAGGCCCCCTGGGGGTCTCACGATGGAAACCCTGTAGGCAGCCCAAGTCGCGCCGACTTGGGCCCGAGTTGCGAAACCGGCGTGAAACCCACCTTGGTTGCCCACGTGGGAGCCCCATCGGCTTCCCTTTTGGAGACCACTTTGTGCTACTTGGGATCGAGCTGAGAATCTTGGGGTCCTGAGTCGATTTTTGTTGGGTGACAACACGTATTTAGCTTTTTATTATCAAATTATACATGTCGTTTTGTAGTGTTCCCTAAAAAATTTGTGTTATACGTTTCGTGACTTTCCGTCACTCTTTCCTCGGAAATTCCAGACCTTAAACACATTGTATTAAAAATTGTGAGCAAAGCCAATGGACAATTTTATTGTTCTGTTATTAAGGCTCAATTGGGTCGACTATTATGATAAACCAAGAAACGATATCGTCGTAGTTCTGTGCGCGGTGTGCTCTATCTGTGTAACCAACGTAGAACTTACTGCAGTGTGGATAATAGTTGTACAAAATCCAAGAGACGGCTTGAAGTACGCAGAAGTGCCAGTTGATTACAGGTTGTTTCTTTTTTCGTCTTTTCGTGGTGATTTGAGAGAGTTGAAATATGCAGATGAATGAAGCTCACTGATCAAATTAGAATTTGTATTAAAAGACCGCCTAAAAGCCCCAGTAAATGTTGCCTTTCAGCCTATTTCCATCCTTTTTTTTATTTTGTGAATACGGGCCATTAATATGCACATTTTGAGTATTGCCACTTAATAATATACCGTGTGAGTCAGAGAGATAGCTGCTAGAAGGGACCGCATAGATCGCTTTCTTAACATATCGTGCTAGGATTTACCACTGAGGAGCCTGAAGGTGGTGGATTCTGTGCTCTTGTGCATCCAATTGCACTGAACAAACGTCCGCGAGTAAAACGTTACAAATCAATAACTTGAGATGCCTACCGTTCGAATTGCGTCCGATGGGCGCAACAGCCCAAAGATGGCAATTACACATCGACATATGACACTCTTTTTTTTTTTATTGGTAATAAAAAATTGGCAGAGAAAAAGAGCGCATCGCTTTTGGTCGAGGTTGAGGAAAGCGCCAGTTGAGACTGCCTGCAATATTACGTGTCGCCGTCTGTCAGTTTTCGTTACCAGACTGACGCCGCAGGTGCGAATTTAAGTTCTCGATTTCTTGTTGCCCACAACAACTTGGGCAACTTGTTCGAAATTCTCCTCACCTCTTCCCAGCTAAGAGCATCGAGGATTTAGGCAGCGCAAGAAACCAATTTGTGAAAAAAGGTTCATATATTGTATTTTGGAGCAAAATAGTATGTCAACTATCCTGCAGGAATCATTGCTGTGAACAAGTATCCCTTTATTATAGTGATCGATGACTAATTACTGCGAATTAAGCTCATAAACTCAGCACAACACTGTTTTCACGTGCATTTTTATTCCACAGTTAAAAAAAAAAACAAGTTTGTCTCCGAGCAGATTACCGTGGCACTGCCCTGCAGCAGTTCAACAGAGGTTCATATAAATACCAAATTGAAATCGAAATTGATGCGAATCTAAGTCAAGTATTTTTCACATCTCTGAATAAAATTTAAAACTCTGCGTCTTGGCGCTGAATTGAGTTGTGAAACTGCAGTAAAGGTACAGTGCCTTTCGTACACCCTCAAGGTTGCTCAGCATCGCCGAAAACCAGTTCGTACGGCGATGCATCATTTATAAACCACACACCTTGCCAAGATAACAATTTTAGGCATATGATTCTTGATTTTGTCATTAGTAACCCCCTTCTCCCCCATACCGTTACGGAGTGTAGTACCTGGAGTTAGTTCATGGTATGAGTAGTAAGACATTCAAATTATATCGAGATTGCGCCTGTTATATTATGCGGCACTAGAAAAACCTTAAATGCCTGTCTTCTCAGCACGTCGTTTCGGAAGTAAACGTTAAGATCACTTTAGTGTGATACGATTAAAAATCAGGTCGACGAAAGAAAACCTATCCTCGCTCTGTTACTTCTAAAACGCTGTATTCAAGATAATCTTTCATTTCCCAACTTTGCCCCGAACTCCAGACACTCGAGATGAGCGCACGAATAACAGTTTTTCAAATCCTAGTTGGTCAAATGCCAAAATGCGGTCCCCATAAACTAAGGAATAACCACCAAGAACATGTGTACCATGTCATCTACGACGAATTCCTCCCTTTCGAGCTTCTCAGCAGTAGACAACGCTTGCTGCGCAAACCCTCCACTACGCTCTTCCTTGGGCCTTTGAAAACAAAAGTTACCCTTATGAAACTTTGGGTCCGTTTTGTGTCCAATGGTGAGCGATCTGTTGGTTGGATGAATAATACCATACTCAAAGACCTTACTGAAGGGCCACTCCAGCTGCGGATCGTTATCGCCAGGATGCACGTTAAAGAAGCAAGTCACCCTGAGCTGCTTGTGCTCGTCTTTCACGAAACTGACGTACATGGAGACGCAGTACCCGTATGCCGTCCACTTTGGGCTCGACGAGATGGCAACGCTACCGCCCATTGCCCTTAGCCTCAAGGATAACCAGCCGCTGAGGTACCAGTGATACACCGGGGGTCCGCAGAACCGATCCAGATTGTCGGACACCGCCTCGACCGCCGAGAGCACTTTCTTCGTCTGCGTGCCAAGCTCCTGGGTTACGTGCTCAGCAAGACTCCATCGAGCTCCTCTGACAGCAGCAACGACGTCTGAGGAAACATTCTCGATGATCTTCTGTTCGTCCGCGAAACCCTTGGTGACGCTCGACTTGAAGTTGCGCATATCCGCGCAGTTGTTCTTCCACCACCACTCCACCCGACAGTCCACTCTCCTGACGTCGGCGGAAACCTGGTCCACGCTGTCGTGCATCCTGGCCATGCCTCTGGAGATGTCCTGCAACGTCGCTTTCAAGTCGTCGTGCCTTTGTTCGGCGCTGTCGCGACTTCGACTGGAGCGCCTCTGGGGGGCGGCGGGTGCGGCTGGGGCACCGCTGCAGCCGTCTCTGCAGTGGCTCACGACGGCGGTCCGCAGCATGGCAGTGTGGCAGCGTTGGCACGATACAACGTGGAAGGCGCATTGCTTGTAGTGGCCCGGGAAACTTGAGGCGGGGCCCACAAACTCGCAGCCGTTCCGTCCATTGCAGCATGTCACCTCCAGATAAAGGAGAGAAAAAAAGAAGAGTGTTACTAATACAGTTCGATCGGTTGAGAAAAAAAAATCGTACAGTAGCGCCTCTTAAATTGCAGTCACTGACAAGATGTGAACGGCAGGGAGTTTCTTTAGAACGCCTGGCTCCCAGCAAGCGCTCGCTGCCTTTCGCTTTTGGCTGCGCGTGCGCGCTAGAGGTTCACGAGACGTCGAAGCGTTATCGAAGGTAGGAAGCTCGCTCTGGATGAGGGACACCTGCAGGATCTTCCTGCTGTTCTCATTCTGTCAGTGGCTTTCCGGGCAGAAACTGAGAGAGAGCATGAGACGAGAGCGCGTGGGGACGTCAGAACGCCGAGCTCAGGGTTGAAATAAATATTGGGTAGACGCTAAGCCTTTGCCTCCACTGCACTCGTCGAATGCAAAAGCCAAACACCGGACTGCACCGAAGGTCCTAACGCGTTTGACTAGTGCAGTGGAGAAAAAGGCAGCTAGCCTTGGGTCTACCCAATAATCATTCCAACCAGAGCTTCGGCGCTTTGGCGTCTTTGCGCGCTCTCCTCTGCTTCTCTCCCCCAGTTTCTGCCCGCATAGTTTCATCGAGGATATGAGGGGATCGGTGGCCGAGTGTGCTAATGAACCGCAGCTCGGAGCACGTGAAGCGAAAGCTCGCGCCGCAGAACCCAGGAATCCCGAGCTTAGTCCTCACCCCCGCCAGTTTCAATCTGGATGAGCATAGAACCGGCGTACAGTCGTGTCTCACGAATGCGTTGTGCACGTTAAAAAAAACAAAAACAAATTAATGCTTGTGTTGCACTGATTTTTTTTTTTTTTTTTTTTTCGGCAGCGGAGGCATCAAACACTCTTTGTTGTTTAAAGGGGTATTCACACGAGGGAGAAATCCCGGGGATTTCGCCACGGCACGCGCATCCCGCCACGAAAACGTCAGGCTTTGCAATGTGGAAAAGCTTCGCGTTTTCGTCTCGTGATGCGCGCGTGCCGGGGAGAAATCCCCGGGATTTCTCCCTCATGTGAATACCCCTTAAACATACGCGCAACAATATTTTTCGAGGCTTTGAAGAAGCAAAATGGCTTACCAAGATGCCGACACACACTCTGAGGCTTCCATAAAACATGCGCGACTAGCCATTTTGGAATTGAATTGAATGGGAATTCTATACAAATCATGTGCAGGAAATCTTAAAATATTCCGTTCAGCACAAGGTTTAAAATCACGCATTTCTTAATCACACATTTCTCTCCGACACGCCAAAAAAAAGTTTTATTTTCATGCTAGACGTTCAAATGGCTTATCAGGACATTACAAAGAAATTGTTTCACTATAGAGTTGCGTAGCTTTTTAATAAAAATTAGAAATACGAGGCCCAATTCAAAGTTCCCGCCAGTGCGCTGTGACGTAACAGTGTGCCGCAAGGTGTCGGGGCGGTCAGAAGGGAGGCATCGCCGGAAGTCACGTGAGTTGCATCCCTCCTCGTGCGTACCGCGGGCGCGTGTAATATATTTTTTTAAATATTTTTGTTATTATCCGCACCTCCACGAGCGATCCAAGTAGACAAAATTTCTTTTATTTGGTTTTCATCGCTTAATGTTGCTGTAAAGGTAGAAGAAGAGGAGTCAGTGAAGTGACGTGATCAACTACAATGCCTACACTTCGTTTCAGCTTCGGTCCAGACGCAGCCAGAGCTACAAGCGCGAGCTCCGGGCTTTCAACATCCCTGCCAAGCACGCGCGCTCGTGCAATGCAAGCACTGTTCTGGGCCACATGCTCGCGCTTGTAGCATCGGCTGCGTCTGGACCGAAGCTGAAACGAAGTATAGAAGGTGCTGTGTGAGGGACTGTCCCGGTATTTCAGTAACTGGAGAAGAGATCACACTGCATGCATTTCCGAGAGAGATACAAGAGATGGACCGGTGGATGACTGCCGTTCCCGCAGGACAGCTATTAAAATCCGTAGGTAGGCGATGGATATGCTCGATGCACTTTAGTGATGAAGATTACAACCCTAGGCGAAGTTTATTAAAACTCACAGGTCTCGATGTGAGACCTCAACTGCAGGTCTGTACGTTTCCTGCCTATCTCCCTGCAGCAGCGGCACTCAAGAGACTTGAATTCCGGCATCACGACTGATCGGCTGCATGTGCACCTAATAAACAAGTTCTATTCATATTCTAGACAAAACACGTACTTTATGCTTGACGTTTACCTGTGCTTGGTACACTCACCATTTCGTATTCTTTAGACGGCAGGCATCTTCAGCCTGGAGAGTATCCGATGATTCAACGACCTTGGTGTCTGAACCTTCAGCAATGCAATCGGGCGTGTCGTTTACTAGCAATCCTAATTTCTGCGAGCGTTCTAAAATTATTTTTCAAAACTTGATAGCTTGTTCTGTGCCCAGTATAGCTCGCATCATCGGACTGACGGCATGCACTCTTACCCCCCATTCACACTGGAAGCGGATCCGCGTTCGCGAAGCGGTTGCGAAAGCGGTTGTATAAAGATCCAGTGCAATCGCACGCGCATTTGATGTCATCGTGTGCGCGTGCAATTGTATAAGACAATTGCAAGCATGGCGCCACAAGTGGTGCCCCATGCGTGCAAGCGCGTGCAACGCGCGGGTGAACGTAGCTTTGGCAAGCTCGTAATCGCACGGGCGTGCCTGCTCGAGCAGAGACATGGCGGCGGCCAGTCGCCCAGCTTGCAATCGTCTATACAACCGCGTTCGCAACCGCTTTGCGAACGCGGATCCGCTTCCAGTGTGAATGAGCCCGTACACTGGCTTGTATTCGCAACGCTTTCATCATTGACCTCCATCACGCCGATCCACTGAATCTTCGTCCTCAACTTTTACAGCACGCAAACAAACCAACAGTGCAGCGATAAAGAGCTAGTGGAACCGAAACTTCGTTTTCTACGATCGCTCGTACGAAGAGCATAATAAAAAAAAAAAGTCTTAGGCACGGTCGAAGAGAGCACGAGGAGTGAAACTCACGTGACTTCCAGCGAACTTACTTTTAGTGACGTAGGTCGACGCCTCCCTTCTGACCTTTCCGACAACTTGCGGTCACTGTTACGTCACAGTGCACTGGCGGGAACTTTGAATTAAGCCTCGTATTTCTGTTTTTTTATACATATATTAAAAAAAAGCTAGGCAACTCTAGTGATAAAATTTTTTTGTAATGCCATTGCGTAATGCTAGGCGTTGAAATATGCAATTTCAACGCCTAGCATAAAAAATCTTTTTTTTTTTTGGAGTGTCAGAGGCTTTTTAATGGTAACTAATTTTCAACGTTATCGTGCATAAAACATGCTGTTTTCGAAAAGTCACAATGTATGTTTAGATATTTCTAGATACAAAAATAAGTCTAAAATTATTTAAAAGATACCATCATATTTCATTCGAAGAAAGAACGACATTTTACATGTGATTAAGGGAAGGTAGTTCTTTTATACTCCGGAAGTACCGATAGACCTGTCTCACCAAGCGTTCCACGCATGCGTGACGCCACCAGGGCTTAAAGTCTGGGGGGTCTCAGGGGGTCTCGGACCCCCCCCACCGATTTTAACAGAGGGTCTGGGACCCTCCTCCACAGCCCCATGATTAGTGAAATCAAAATCATATCTTGCAATAAAATAGCTTGTTTTCAGGGATGTGACATTTGGGAATTAGCAATTTGAGGGTTGCAGGTACGACGGGGATATAGTCGGCAGTCGGTTTCATTTTATGTGCATCTAATACATTTCGTCAGAACAGCCCCCCTCCTCCCTTCTTGTAGGGACCCCCCTCAGTTTACGGGAGACTTTAAGCACCGGACGCCACCATAACTGTAGTTCACGGGAGGCAGGCGCCAGTGAGCAAGACAGCTTGCGCCATCTTGTTCTCCGTTTGCGAAGACCCACAGCGGAGTTGCCGCGCATGCAGAGTGACTGCAGATCCTACGACGTATACCGGCAGCGACGGCGTAACAAAACTAGCTGGTGGGATCGGTCTTTTGCCGTCTTCTTCAGGTACACTCGCTTCGCCACAATACACCCATGCCAAGAAGGAAGTGTCCACAACAAAGTCCGGGCAGCGAATGCGGATGTGCCATCCTTATTTGACTTCGAAGAGGATGCATACGGTCATTGCATTGTCGGAACTTGGAAAAAAATATAGGTGATTTTGGTGTTTTACAGTGTGGCTTCTACTGTATTAATTCTACAGGCTGAGTCAAATGGATGTCTGAAGGAACCGCATAAATTGGTTCCAGGACGTTTTGAGCTAGATTCTGTTAGAAAGTTAGTTAGAAACGAAAAACGTGAAATCTCTACATGCGGCGGCCGTCTGCTAAAGAGAGGTGCCCGATTGCCGCAGCAGCCGAGAGATGGCTGCACGCAAGAACGCAGGCGGACGCGGTTGTTGACGATAACACGTCACATCGGCGTCCGGAGGGAGTTGCAAAAATGTGCTGCTCAGTGAAACAATCCCTTCTTGGGTTGTTTTATTGAACGCTACGTCATGAAGCAGTTGTGCGGCTGCCACCAGGATAGAACCCCCATGAGGTAACGCACACTTCGCGTGTTCTGCACAGGTTTAAAGAGCCCTGTACAAGTAACGTATCACTTCCAACAACATCGATGGTTCTAATGTCTTCATCGGGAGAGTGCGTATCGCTCAGTGAAAGTAAGAGCTGAAACAGCTCCATTCAAACTCACTCTGTAGTTGTCGAGGTCAGGAAGCTCGAGACGATCCAAGTCACGTTCGTCGAAGTCCTTCCGGTCCAGCGGGCAGACGCTACCTTGTTGCGCGCTCTCCGAGTGGCAGTCGGCGCAGAGCAAGTGGGCACAGGGCAGCTTGACCGACTTCCTGGACACGGTGCCACACAGGGCACACGCTTTCTGGGCGATGCCGGCATCCAGAAAGGACAACGGTTTCCAGTCGAGAGCGTCGGAAAACCCGACTGTGCAGCGAGTATTGGGATCCGCAGGGACGTGGCCGCCTTCTGCCATGTCCTTCTGCAATCACGATTTAGGAACCTGTAGCATGAAAGGCGGCCAAGAACCTTGTGATGCGAAGGCATTATCGTTGCAGTCCCAGCGTTGAAATATCGACGACATCACTTAGTGCTAAGCACGAAATACTACATCGGAACCATAATGTATACGCAATCCTACAAAAAAAAAAAAAAAAGCAGCATTGCTTGGTTTTACATTTAGAGCTGGTATTTAACCTTTATGTGGTTAATCGAGCGCAGATTTCAACAAAATGTTTGAGGCTGAATTTAAAAAAAAAAAAGCAAGTCCACTTTTTTTTAGCTTTAATAGGTGGGCGGAGTAAAGATGGCTAGTTGGTTTTGCATCACAATGTAATACGAAAAAAAAAAAAAAGAAACACGGACGAAAACGAAGGGAGCATTGCAAAGGACGCGGTGTAACTTCCAACTGCATGGTTTATTTGAATGAAATGCTGTTAAAAATATAAAAACAGGCACACATGCAAAAGAACACAAAGATATAGCCTAAAAAAACACCCCGCAAATACCAGCGTCATTGGTTTTTCGATAGTAGAATTTTTTATAGTACAAGCGCACCCTCCAAAGAGGGTGCGCTTACACAAGAGTTGTCGTGGTGGGACTTAATCAGGAAGGCTTCGCGAATTTTTCTGGCCGTTCCTGGTTTGTAATGGCCCATGACACAGGTCCCACGTATAAGATGGGGCTGCACTTCTCAAAGTTGGGCCCGCATTCGCAACGGTCGCAGTGGACCGCTTGGTGACCAGGAGTATGTCACATACCGTTGCTTGTAAATACGTTTAATATATAAATTACGAAGAACATGCAGGCGACCTGCTAGACTTTCAACATCTTGAAAATCCGACACCAAGGACCAAAAAAGGTGGAAAAATTGTGACATAGTGGAACACAAAGGTCTGAAATTCAGCAGCGACGTCATAACGTCCCGGATTTGCAAGATGTTGAATGCATATTGTGCAAGTATTCTTTCAAATGTGCGATGAACTTTCACATACTGATGCCTGCTGCCCGACCGCTTTATCAGAAAGGAAGTATTGCTCAAGGTCTGAAAAATGAGCGGCGCGTTCCAACCAAATACATGTATAGAATAATTGCTGTAAAAAAAGAAATAAATACTTAGAAGAAAAGAAAATAACGCGAAGTAGCTTTCACCTTCCAGCCAAGTAACGCGTAGTTCTAAAGTGGCGTGTCCGTCAAATAAGGCCACACTACGGATGCCGAGTTTCAACAACAGCCTAAGCTGCGGTGAAGTTAACGACGGCGAACATGTGTCGGAAACCACTTGCGGCAGTTAGCGAGGTATGTCGTGCTATCTATCAGAGGCGAGACAATATTAAAAATGTTTCGCATTTTAGGCACAAAGTATCCGCTCTGTTTTCGAGCTCTTACTCGCAGCTTGCAGTAGTTGAAGGAGAAAAGAAACTGAACATACCAGCAAGCGCTGTTTCCGCAAAGCTTGGGTAAGTCAGCGTGGGCGTTGCGACAAGAGACCAGCGTCTTCTACGCCTATCCCAGCATGGATTCGTTTTGATAACTGAGCCAGTCCCCAAACCGGATTCGACTTGAGGGTCGTAAAATGGCGCTGTATGTCCCAGCAATATACACGTATTAAAAAGTAAACACGCAAAAACACTGTTTTGTTATTTCTAACGTTCACCAGTGTAACTCTTAACTTCACTCGCCCGGAACTTTCGGAACTTGACTGGATTTTATTACAGCGTCTGCGAATTAAAGCCCAGTCGAAGCTCAAAAGCCAATTTTTTTTTTACTTTATATTTTTTACATTTTTAAAGTGGTTGGCTATACTGGCGTGACTGGCAGCTGTGTGTTATCAGTTTATATGTTCCTTCGGTAGTATTCAGGTCATTCGTCATTCGTCAACCTTCGTGGACAGCGCTCGCAGTCTTTTTGCGTTCGCTATCTACGGCTAAACAAATCCCGCGAAAAAACATACAACGCATGATCACGCCGCGTTTACTGCGCGCGATGGTTTAGCTGAAGTCCCTCGATACCCATTTTACAACGAAGCTGTTTATGGCTAGGGTTCCGTAGATTTTTCGTGTGCGTGGCCCAAAACTCTACGCTCGCACCGTCACACGCGTACGCCTTCCCCATATAAACGATTTGGAGTAAATAACCAAAAGAAATAGTTGAAGAACGCGCATGCAGTATGCCTATTGTTTTAGGCTTTGGCTTTAGAACAGTTAATGTTGCAGACGCCGGCACGTGCGGCGCGTGGAACACCATTCCCTGCATTCTCCTTGATGTTTGGGTAATTTAGCAATAGGCCTATTTCGCTTCTCTTCTCTCGTCGTAACGGTGAGGCCGCGTATAGACCAACACGCGGGCTTGACGTCACGGCGCTGCGGCGGCGCTGCGATCGCGCCGGAGCCGAGGGGTGTGGGCAAAAGGGCGCACGTTTCGCATGGGCGTCATAGTATTTCAGCGTGCCGCGAGGCTGTGTTGCCGTTAATCTCACCGAAATGTACAAGAAAAGTAGCGGAGTGAGCTTCTACAAGCTCCCGGCAGACTCTGAAAGGCATAGAAGGTGGATAATATCCGGGGATCAAAAATTATGGTCGCCTGGCGCGTTTGTGCGGCAAGCACTTTCTTGGAAGCAAGTACAGCTTCCATTTCAATCTCCGTCCCGAGGCTTGCTTATGTACAGGGAAACCGTCCTCTGATCGAGACTACCCGGATTTTGTTCCCACGCTGTTCGCGCACGAATCACCGGCCAAGCGCTCGTTGGAGGCTCGCTACGCCCGTGTTACCCAGCAGAAGGGGATCGGCGACAGAACGGTAGTGTTGTAGGCGTTACCAAAAAAAAGTAACGAAATACGTTACTCGTTACTTGCAAATCAAAGGTACGCGTTACTGAGCTACGTTACCTAAAAATAAAAGGAACGCGTTACCACTACCGATAAAAAGTAACGCACGTTACTTCTGCGTTAATTTTTAAATTTTGATTTAAAACGTTTTACGGTTTTGACGATACAGGTATGCATAAGCTCATATATCAAGAAACATTATGTTCATGCAGAAACAGAACATAATTAATTTATCTCTTTTTAAGGTTTCACCTAAATACTGACGAGAAAAAACGCAAAGAAAAACATGGCTTGACGCCTAAAAACACGGAAAAACTTGAAGGGCAATTGTAGTAACGAGTAACGTAACTACGTTACTTGAAATAGTAACGTTAGTACGTTACCCGTTACTGTGTCGAAAAAGTAACGAGCAGGTTACTACGTTACTCAAAAAAGTAACGCGTTCCTGGTAACGCCGGTACTTGTAACGTGTTACCGCCAAGACTGCAGAACGGACAAAGCGTTACTGCTTGTCGTGCTTTGTGGTCATGAGAGTAGGAAAAATAGCATACCTTGACTTGAACACGCTGTGTGCATTTATTTCATTAATAAATACACTTCCGCAGACACACAGTCTACTGATCCCGCCGGCAGTGCGGAAACCGACTCGAAGTAATCGTAGGCCTCGAGAGACTTGTACGTCTGCTCCGTGTAGGCCGTGAACTGGCTTGGAAAAAAAAACTAAATAAACGACGACGTGAGCCGTCGACTTCGGTGGCAGCAACTTCACGTCGGAAGTCCAGCAGGCCTTGTTTACGGCGTACAAATCCTCGTAGGCAACGCCGTCCACGGACAGTTTGTTTCGATACTGCACCGTTCAGGCTCGGGTAGCGAGCTCAAATAGTCGGGCATAGCATACGACATACGTTGGCAGGAAATACGACTCACAAATGAAGCTAGAAGCGTCCCTACAACGTCAACAACGAGCGCACGCCACACAACGCAATGGCGAAAACAAGGAGGGCCGGGTCGCTTTTGCCCACATAGCTACCGCGCATGCGCGGCCTTCCGGCCGTGTTGGTAAACAGAGCCGCTCCGCGTGTCGGTCTATAGCCCGGACTCCCGAAGAGCAACGCGCCTACGAAGAGCAACGGCGGGAACGGCAACGAGAATGTCGTCGGCGGCGGCGGCGGCGGGTGGCAAACACCACCGATGAAGATCGTGCATAAAAGACCTAGTGAATGTGGCAAACCAGACAAGACGACGAACATCGCGGGGCGGAGAATGCATCAAAAAGACGCAGGTACCATGCTGCTAAATTGGACAACTTTAATGGACCATACGCTGAATTCTGTGTCACGTCTGTGTCGGTGTGCTAAACAGCTTCGCTGGTCACCCACTTTCACAGAGTGGAATGACTCATGATTTTTTTTACGAGTAACGACAACCGATACGAATGTCGAAGCAGATTCCGCTAAAACAAAATGGCGTCGTTCGGTTCAGTCTTCGCCGTGCGCCGCCGTTCGCTTCCTAAATCCTGCGCCGTCACGCAGTCGGCGCTTCGAAGAACGTTGCCACTTGTAGGAATCTACGAACTCTATAGGTTTAGCTGGCAAGACCGATACCACAAGGAACGGCTAGCGCCGTGGGGGTATACACGTTAGGCGCTGCTTGATTGGCCATATCCGATCGTGCCCTTGCTGCGCTCAACTTAATCTGAAACGCATTCTATTCTGTCAACATCTCTTAAAGAGACCATGAAATGAACTTTTTGGGCTGGCATAAACTATGATTTTACTAATCACGTATCGTTTAGTGCTCCAAAAGAAAACTAAACAAAAGTAGAAAGCCCCCCCCCCCAAAAAAAAGAAGAAAAAAAATGCTTTTCGGTAGGAAACTTTTCTTTTTAAAGCAAAAGGCGGTTTAATTTTTATAGCGCAGCTCTCAGGCGCTTGTGTCCGGCTTGAGCGCCGTCGCCGTCGCCGTCACCGTCTACGTAACCGCGCGGTGCATTATGGGACGTTTCCCACGATGACGTCACACGTGACTTCACCTGTCACGTAAAGAGGGTCACCAGTGACCAACGTTACTAGACTGCCTCAGTTGTGAAACTCCCGCGGAAGGGGGTAACCCCCCCCCCCCCTCCCTTCAATCCGCCGATGGATGGATG